TAGGAATGTTATAAAATCTTGAAGTGTAGTCTTATCATTTGAAAGATTTTACTCCTCTCTTACTGCTAAAAAGTTGCAGGGCTGAGGGTAGGGGTGGAAGTTGGGGCTGGAGGCTTAAAAGTGCAGAGTGAATTCTTAATTCGCTGTTCCTCCAGATATTTGCAAGTTGAGTTGATAGTTATCCAGGTGTCATAGCCCATTAAATCATTCTTAACATCAAAGAGAAATATTGATAGTCATATTTCATCGATTCATATATACACACATTATATGTGAGGCAAGTATCTCAGCTTATGTGGTACCATGCCTTCTATTTATGGCCTATGTAAAGCATCAGATCAGCCAATGGCAGCCTCAGGATGAGCAGAGGAAAGGGAGAGTGGGGGATGCATTTTTAGTTCAGTATCTTATTAAAAATAGCACAGTTTCAAGATGAAGTTGGTCTTTGGTGTCCTCTCATACTCTTCTGTCCAGAGCTGCCTGACCTGCAGCATCCTAAGACTTACCCTTTCCTAACCAAGTTATCTCTTCAGTCACCCTACTGCTTAAAAAAAATCTGTTCTTAAAAGATATTATTTAAATACATGGATTCCCATTGTCCTTAAGATAAAGGCAAAATCTATATCAGGGTTAAAAAGCTCTTTGAGACTTGGCTCATTGCTCTTCCTTCATTTCTTATTACTCTCCCTTGCGCTTTTCAGTCTATCTATGGTGGATTTATTTCACTTCTTATAATGACAGACATGCTGTCCCTTGCCTGGGAGGGATTTATCCATTTTCTATAGCTTGGAACCTTTCCTACCATCCATCATCTTCTTACCTTACTAACTCCAACTTGTAGACTTTCAGATCTCTTCTAAAACATTCTTCCTTAAGTAAGGCCTTCCTGATCTTTGAGAGGAAGCTAGGTGCCCCTGTTATGTATTCAAATAGCACCTTCTTAGTTCACATTTAGCCTTTTATCCTCTGTGAGTCTATAAGTACCATAAGACCATGTCTATTTTTGTTTATGGTTATTAGCACCTAGCAAAGTTAATATATTTAAAGGAAAATATGAACACAATGAGGAGAAGAATGAAAGTTATAAATAAGAACCCAATGAAAAATCAATCTAGAGATGAAAAATAAAATATTGGAATGAAAAACTTTAGTAATTGGAAATAATAGCAAATTAGATATTGCAGAAGAAAAAAACTAGTGAACTTGAAGATACAGTAATAGAATGTATCCAAAGTGAAAGAGAAAAGACTGAAAAGAAAATGAAAATAACGCCAGTGAGCTCTAGGACAATATCAAATGGTCTAGCATATGTGTAATCAAGTCTCAAAGGAGCAGAGAGAAAAAGATTTAAAGAAATAATGGCTGAAATTTTCCAAATGTGATGAAATTTATAAATCCAAATCCAAGATGCCCAAAGAACCACAAGCAGGATAAACACAAAGAAAATGCACATGAAGACACATCATAATAAAATTACAGAAAACTAGTGGTCAAGAAAAACACTCTCAATGTCTGCCAGAGGTAAAAAGATACACTATGTACAGATATATCTTGGAAATAATGTGGGTTCAGTTCCAGACCACTGCAGTAAAGTGAATATTGCAATAAAGTGAGTCACGTGAATTTTTTGTTTTCCCAGTATATATAAAAGTTATGTTTATGCTATACTGTAGTCTGTTAAGTGTGCAATAGCATTATGTATAAAAAAAAGTACATACTTCAATTGAAAATGCTTATTGCTAAAAAATGCCAACCATCATCTGAAACTTCAGTGGTTGTAATCTTTTTGCTGGTGGAGGGTCTTGTGTCGATGTTGATGGGTGCTGACTGATCAATCTGGATGGTGGTTGCTGAAGGTTGGAGTGGCTGTAGCAATTTCTTAAAATAAGACAACAGTGTTTGTGGTGCCCCAAAGCAATTACAATAATAGTATCAAGGTCACATATCACGGATCATCATAACAAATATAATGATGTAAAAGTTTGACATATTGTGAGAATTACCAAAAATGTGACACAGAGACCAGAAGTGAGCAAATGCTGTTGGAAAAATGGCACTGATAGACTTGCTTGACACAGGGTTGCCTCATACTTTCAATTTATAAAAAAATGCAGTATCTGCAAATTGCAATAAAGAAATCACACTAAAACAAGGTATGCCTATATGAGAACTCTTATCAGAAAGCATGCGAGTCTGAAAACAATGAATGACGTCTTCAGGGTGTTGAAAGAAACTGGCAACTCAGAATTCCATATTCATGGAAACATATTTTTCAAAAGAATTAAGGCGAAATAAAGACTTTCTGAGAAAAAGGAAAGCTGAGACCTGCATTTACAAGAAACGTTAAGCGAAGTTTTCAAGCAAATAAAAATGATACCAGTTGGAAACTTGGATCTACTCAAAGGATGCTGGGAATGATAAATGTGTAGGTAAATATAAAATACTTTTTTTTCTCATGGTTGACTTTCTTTAAAGAGTTGGAGATAATTTACATTTTATAGTAAAAATATCAAAAATGTGGGGTTTATAACATACATAAAAATAAAGTAAAAACAATAGTACGAAGAATGAGAAGAGGGAGATTGAAACATGTTATTGTAAGATTCTTTCATTGTATATGAATTGGTATAGTATCACTTGAAGATCTGTGGTAAGCTAAAGATGTATATTATAATTCTAGAGCAAACTTTAAAAAGTAACAAAGAGGGATGGCTGATAAGCCAAAGTGGACAGAAAAATGGAATCCTAAATACCTAATTAATCTAAAAGACAGCAGGAGAAAAAATAAAAGGAACAAAATAGATGAGACAAATAAAAATCAAATAGATGCTAGTTAATTGTATTAAACCAAGTTGATAATTACATTAAATGTAAATAGCTAAACATTATAGTAGAAAGGCGTAGATTGTCAGACTTGAGAAAAAGAAAGACCCATCTATATGCTTTCTAAAGTACATGCAAAGATACTGATAGATTAAAGGTAAAAGGATAGCCTTGGCTTTTCAGTTATGTTATTTGTTTTATATTGTCAATGCTTTTTCACAGATACTCTATTTTGTAACTATAATTCTCACTTCTTTAATCTTAGTTCTGTGCTTGAATGCATACAGTGCTCACCATTAGTCCTTTTCTCAATACCTAAATTCCTTATATATAGGCTTAGGTTTTAGTCATCAACTTTTCATGGTTATATTTATTATTATTTAACAATTATTGTTAAACATGTAACAATTATTATTATTTAATTAAAATTTTTTCCTCTTGATTCACCATTATAAAAAGATAAAAGGATGCAAAAATATATACAGTGCAAACACTAAACACATTGGAGGGCCTGTATTAATATCAGTCAAGGACCTTGAAATAAGGACCTTGAAATATCACTAGGAGTAAAGAGATAATAAAGGAATCAATTCACCAACAAGACATAATAGTCCTAAAAGTACACATGTGAAAGAGCTTTAAAACTATTAAACAAAAACTGATAGAATGGAAATACATACTTCTCTATTCCTCTATTAGTAATTGTTAGAACAAGTATATAGAAAATCAGTTAGAACAAGTATATAAAAATCCTCACTGACAGTGACAGTAAAGGTACACTGTCAGCTACCTTTACTTGTTGGCATTTATAAACTACTCCACCCAAGATCAGCAGAATATACATTCTTTTCAAGTCCACATGAAACATTAATCATTATAGACCATATTCTGGGCAATAAAATAAGTAATAAATTTTAAAATATAAATTATACAGAGTGTGTTCTCTGATCACAATATAGTTAAATTTTAAATTGATAAAAGCATCAGAAAGTCTCCCCCAAATTAGAAAGTAACTCACTTCTAAATATTCCATTAGGTCAAAGAGTAAATCACAAGAGAAGAAAAATATTTTGAAGTGAGTAAAATTTAAAACATCAGACTTTATGTGATGCAGGTAAAGCACTGCTTGGAAGGAAATTTTTAGCTTTAACTGTACAGAGTAGAGAAAAACAGTGGTTTCAAACCAATGACCTTAAGAAACTAAGGAAAGAGCAACTTACGCCCAAAATACACGGAAGGAAGAAGTTAAAACAAGAACAGAAATTAATGAATTAAAAACTAGAAAACCAATAGAGAAAAATCAATAAAACAAAATGCTTATTTTTGAAAAATCAATAAAATTGATTAAACTCTAGCAAGAGTGATAAAGAAAAAAGGAGAAACCTCAAATTATCAGTCAGAAGTGAAAGAAGGGACATCACCACAGGTCTTCTGGACATTAAGAAGATAATAAGGAACATTATAAACAACTTTATGCCAGGACACTTGAGAACTTATATGAAATGTACAGAATTTCTCAGAACATACAAATGATCAAAGCTGAGTCGAGAAGAAATAGAAATCTGAATAGTTCTGTATCTAGTAATGAAATTGATTTTGCAATGTAAAACCTTTCCATTTAGAAAACTCCAGGCTCTCTAGTGAATTCTATTACATATTGAGAAAGAAATAATAATACCAATTCTACACTAATCAGAAAATAGAGGAGGGGGGTACATGTTCCAACATATTTTATGAGCCAGGATTTTCCTGACACCAAAATCAGAGAAAGACATAAAGAAAATAATACAGACACCAATATCCTGAACATAGAAGCAGAAATCCTTAGCAAAATGTCAAATTGAATCCAGAAGTGTATGTTAAAAGGATAATACATTATCAGGAGTTCAAGGTTGGCATAATGTATGAAAATTAATCAATGTAATTACCATATTTACTGATTAAAGGGGGAAAACACATGATAACCTCAATAAATGCAGTAAAGCACTTGACAGAATGCAAGTTTATTTATATAACAAGCAGTCCGGAAGCGAGAGATGGTGTCTCCTCTGGAGCAAGGGCAGGTGTGCTAACAGTCCTGTGTCATAAAGGTAGTGTTTCCATCTAGAGTAAAGGGGCAGGCGTGCTTACTACACTCAGAAAAGAGATGGTTCCCTAACCTCAGAGCTCTCTCTCGTCACGCGTCCACTGTGTGGTCCTTTTCACGTTGCCTGTAGGAATCGGCTTGGAAGACTGATGGAAAAGTGCTGATTCTTTGGCTACTGGTATTGCTCTGGCCCAGGAGTCTCATGTTTTCCACTGGAACCCATGAAACTGTGACAGGCTAACATACTAGCTTTACAAGTTGGATAAAATCTGACTTTACAGTTCTTGACAACAGAGAAATAAATACCTAATTCCAATTTCTAATTAAAAACTAATCTGATCAATTATAAGGTAAATTTAATCACATGGAAAAGTGAATTTAAATTTTTTTGTTGAAAAAAGTACTTGGACAAAGGATTTTGAGACATTGATTTTAGAAATTTATTTACATGTCTTGGATGGAAGTAATTGATACAGTTTACTTGGAATTCCTGGGGAAAAAAAAGAAGAATTATTTAAAAGATGGGACTGCTAAGTGTACTTCAGAAAAATAATGATTTGAAAAAAATCCCTGCTTGCTGCCAAAGTTGCTTTGTGCAGGTACAATGGATAGAAGTAGTATAAATAAAACAACAGCATGGATTTTATCAAAAGAGCAAAATCTCCAAATCCACTATGTAATAAGTTGGGTACAAATCGTACAAAACTAAATTGTATTCATCTTAAAAATTTTCTTCTTATTGCTGTCCTCTGGCTAATGCCCAATAGGCTAAAAGAACCTTAAACACATTTTCACTGATCCACTACTATACACATACCTTTCAAATCAGGAGCGGAAGGCCTACTCCGAGGGCTAGAGTTGTCTTCGTAAGTATCATAGTTGTCAAAATGGAATTTCTCTCTCCTTGAAGTGTAACCCATTTTTGACACGTCAATATGGTGACTACAGATTTTTTCACTTAGATTTAAATATTCTCTTTGAAGATTCCGCATCTCAAATTCCAAGGTGTCCCTTTCATTTTCTATACTTCTCACATAGTTTTCTAGAAGTATTTTGTCTTCCGCAAGTCTACTGATGCTGTTTTCAAATTTTATATTTTCTTGACTATGTTTTTTGAGTTCTTCTTTTAGAATCTGATTATCGGTTTTAATTTCCATTACCATTTTTGATAACATTTCACATTCATTGCCCATTTCTGACAAACTATTCTTATAAATACTGGCTTCTGATTTTGCATTTTTTATTTCTTGGAGAAAATTCTCTTCGGCAGTAGATCGGTATGTTTGAATATCCTCAATTTCTCTTTCCATCATTTCTCTTGCGGCAGTAGATTCTTGTAAGGTTCTTTCAAGATTAAGCTTCTCATCTTTAGCTGTTTCTATTATTTGAAGAAGTGAGTCTTGTTCAGTTTTTGCCAACATTTCTTTCTCTTTTAGCTGCATTATCTCTAGCTGATTTTCTTTTAGTTCATTTTCAAGTGAGCTTTTTTCCTTTAGAAGCTGGTATGTTTTTTTCTCTAATGTTTCCTTTTCTTCTTGTATCAATAGAATGCTTGTTTTCATTGATTCCATTTCTACGCTCAATCGTTTATTTTCATTACTGACTATGGCCATATCACTTAGAGTTTTGTTTTCCTTACTTTTTAGTTGCTCTAATGTTTGTATCATTTGTTGCCTCTCCAAAGAAAGTTGGCTGTTTTTTTCCTCTAGAGTTTTATTTTGTCCTTGGAGAACATTATAGTTACTAATTATTTTTTTCAATTCTTTAAGACATTCTTTGCTGTCTTCTTCTGTTTTAATTAACTTAGACTGAATAGTGTTCTTTTCTTCAACCAGATTCTTAAGTTGCTTTTCATATATTTCAATTTTCTGTATCAGAGATTGTGTGGTAAAGACAAGAGGTTTAATTTTGGTCTTAAGGGTTAGGTTTTCATTCTCTAATTTTGTTACTTTTTTCTGTATCTGCATAGATTCTTTCAGATAATTCTGTAAGTACTGAATTTTTGCAACACACTGCTCAGTAACAGAATTGGCTTTGGATATTTTCTCATTTTCATATATTATTGAGCCTAGTTTTACTGCAAATGTTTGCCTTTCTTTGTCTTTCATTTCATATTTTGTTGGGTCAAAGAATGACAGTGTATGTCGTGGAACTCTGGGATGGAGTTTTAAATCTGTAATATTCTTGTCAATGGTAGGGATTTCTTTATTATTTTTCTCATTCTTTTTTCCCCTATGCATTTCACTCTTAGATAATTTTTTACATTTCCTACAAAAATTCACATGGAATTTTGACACTGTTTCCCTGAGTGGGAGCAGTTTGTTTACTAATGCCTCCAATTCTAAAATTCTCTTCGATTTTATATCTTCATTTAAATTACTTTCAATATTTTCTTCCCTAATACTGTTAATTTTTTCGTTGTGAATGGTGGGAAGGTCATATTTACCATTACTTGGAATAGCTTTTAAAGTTTGAAGTTCATTTGTAAGTGCCAGTTCCCTATCATGTGCTTTTGAAGCTCCTCCTTCATTTGTTTGATTGAATGGCAAATGTCGTCTAAATTTTCACAAAATCCATGCTTGAGAAAAGGCACAGTAATTCTGGACTTATCCCGAATTACTCTGTCAGCTTGAGACATCCCATTTTGAGGTGCATTAGGTAAAAAAGTGTAAAGGTTATTATAATTCTTCAACATGTCAGAATTTTCTGAAGCTGAATTATCTGTTGAAGTTCTCAGAGTTAATATGTCCTTGAAATGTATCTGGGATGGGCTATTTATACCTTGAGAGAGACTGTTAAAATTGTCGCTACTGAATTTTTCTTCCACTGAACGAAGACTCATAGAATCCTCGGAATGACAAATTTTCTCCGTAGAAAGGGTTTCTTCTTGATTCTGTATAGGCTGGTAACAGTAAAAATCACACTATAAATGTACTGTTATTTTGCTACATGTCCAACAAATTAAGAGTATTTTGTGGCATTTTTATTTTTATAACCAGAATGAACATTTTATCCATTTCTGCAGCAAAGAAGCCTACCAAGTATGATTCATTTTTCTCCAGAAAATCTAACAAATGTTATTTTGAGATCTGTAACTCTGGTTTTCACAGTTTGCCTAGAACCTGCACTTATTTCCTTAGCAGGTGAGATAGAAGGGCCTAACCCTCAATTTCAGACATAGAAATTAAGCATTTCTCAAGAGCCCATCATAGGTGGGAAGATAGAAACAACAGGTCAAAGGGAAGTTTAAGGAAAAGGAAAATTTCCGCTTCTGGACTATTTGTCAACCTTAGCTTGCCTTCCTAGTGTCAGATGAATCTAGGCCTGTGACTGTTCTGGAAATGTGAGTTCTAATAAGTATAGACACAGTGACTGTGGTTTGGACCTGTTCTAGAGAATTCCCCCGAGGTCCAAGCTAATCCTAAAAGTAGAAAAAGTCATAAGTGGACAGAAAGGCTATAAAAACTGCCTTGTAGTTCAATCTACTTGGGAATCTTTAAGTATCTGGACTAAGTCGAATTCTGCCCCCAACCCCCCCCCCCAAGAGAAACAAGAAAATCGCAGAAGTACGGAGGTAAACGCACGCCTTTTAGGGTTTTCAGGACAGGAATTTCCTTGTTTTCATCTCTGACAATCCAGTCACCCTGTGAAGAAGGGGAGAATGTAAAGGTGAAGAGAAACTAGTTATAGTAACATTTCTGAAGAACCTAAATACAGAAGTGATTTTGTACTGAAGAACATACCACAGCCTTTTGATTGTGTGTTCTGAATGCTAGGTTTTTTTCTGAGCTAAATTGCGGATTTTCTACTTCAATGATACTTTTGTTCAATATTTCACTGATTTCAGACTGCACCTTTAAAAGATAAATTAAGAATCAGGTTTTGATTTCAGACTTACAAACTTATGACTGTACAAGAATAATAGATACTATAATTAAAAGAGCCCTTTAAATTTCCTACACATAAACTTCTTTTCGGTCATATAGAATGTAAATTAATTTTTGCAGTCTCTATCATTGAGGGGATCTTTAAGTATGCCTTTGTTACATGATTATAAAATCAGGAAGACTTAATTTAGAAGAACAATGAAATCTCATCAGTTAAAATAATTTTAGATGTTTGATTTTTACATTGTTGATAAATCAGAGACCTTTGATCTCTGTCATCAGAATGGAATCTGTTCTTTCAGCCTGAGGAGGATTTTATCATCTCCCATTTCTCTTCAGCTGCTTTTAGTACAAGACTGTTAGGACGAAGTTTATACTGGGTCTTTCGTGAATGTGGGGTGGGTTATGCACCCCCAATATCCATGCCCTAGCCTTCTGTTAACACTACCCTTACTTCTGGATAAAGCCCGTTTGCCTTTGGTGATACTGACCCCACTTTCAGCGCCGAGGGATGGGCATGTGACTGCGAGCTAACCAGTCAGAGCAGAGCCTCCCTTTGAACAGTGATTGCTTCAAGCACTGCGTGTGTGGCAGTCAGAATCAGGCCAAGAGCCCCGTATAAACTGTTAAGAGAGAAAAGCATGTGGTCTCTTCCTCGTCTGACTGGAATCTGGAAGGATCAAGACTGCAACTCCTAGCAACCTTTTTGCTGCCACACGGAGGCTGAGAATCCATTACTGTCAAAAGCAGAACCAGGATAAGGAGTGAGGCTGGTTCCTTGATGACCTGAGTCCTGATCATGTGGCTGACGCCATCCTCAAGTGAACCGTCCCTGCGGGTTTCAGTTTCCAGAGCCAAAAAAGTACACGTTTCCCTTAGTTTGAGTTAGATTTCATATCACTTATCATGAGAGTCCCTATTTGTAGATTATACATAGGTAGCACTTTAAACTTATGACTTAAAAAGTCAGTGAGTGTTGCTTCTTTTTGGCTTCTGTTCAAACACCAGAATAACAGAATGTAGTTTCCTTCAAATTTTGAGCCTAGAATAAATAGGTTGTGGCCTCTTTGTTTTTTTTATTACATTCGATATCAAATAATCAATTGGCTAGCGACCATCAGCTTAGAAATGTGGGGTGAGATGCTGGATATTTTGTATATAAGTTGAAAGAACCATACCATGCTAACATTCTGCAAAGTCTGTATTCGGAGAGCCTGAAATGATTCCAGCTGATGCTGCAGGGCCTAAAACAAAATTATACAAGGTATGAAACTGAATATTTTTAGGTAGGTGAACATATATTTGTGTTGTTAGAATTTTAAAAAATATCTCATATATACATATATATATATGTATAACTGAATCACTTTGCTGTAATCCTAAAACTAACACAACATTGTAAGTCAATTATACCTCAATTAAAAACAAAGAAAAATTTAAAAATCCCCTGAAGTTGCCTGTTACAAGGATCATGTGAGGGTCAGGTGACTCACTTTCTTAGTCATTCTTGCTAACTCTCCAGCACATTTTGATGGAGATTTTTGTGGAAAACTCTTATATATTTATGAAGTCTTTATTCTGAAAAAGATCAGCCTTTATGCAGGTTTTTGGAGACAATAAAATGAAATATACTCACTTTCAGTGCTGATTGTGGCTGGATTTGATTTTCTGATTCTGGTATGCAGCCGTACTCTAATAAGCAAAATTGAAAAACCATGTGATTTAATTATTAAGTTTTATTTTTAAACAACATTAACAGAAAGAAGTCTCCTAACTTTCTTGGATAGTGAGGACAAGAGATAATGAGAAGATTGACATTCATATTAGGAGGAACCCAGTGCTGGCCACATAATGAATTTAAGAAATAATTCTCACCTGACTTAAAATACTGACCTGCTTGAGGTTGTAATAGAGGTTTTACTTTTATAAGAAGCCACTATCTTATAACACCAGACTTAGAACTCTCTGAAACTCAGATATCTTTCTTTGTTTCTGGGGTATAAACTAAAAAACAACCCTAATAACCCTCATCCTGTGGGAGACCCTTGGCAAAGTGCTGTATAGGTCTCAGTGTCTATGAAACAGCCTTATGGTGTTTTTTCTCCCTTAACATAGAAAACATTTTGGATTAATAGAGCCTAATTTTTGTCATGCTCTTAAGGAAAGTGCAGTAAAGATCCGCGTGCTTCTCCCTGGAAAACAGATTGTGGGACTACAACAGGGCGTGGACTACATAATGTTTGCAAATTTCCTGACATACATTCCACTGTTTTCTAAATGTTAGGCTACTTGCTTTGTAAATTTCTATTAAAGAATTAAAAAAATTGTTCAGTGTCCTGAATAAAATGAGAGCTATGTTAGAATGATCCCCTAGGCTGACGATTTCTGCTGTAAGAGAAGGATTTTAAAGAGGTCAGCGTATCTCCTTTGGAGTGAGTCTGCCAGATGTTATAGAAGCTGGTTGCAAAGTGTACTCCCTCCAGCTCCCCCCCCCCCCCCAGTCTGGCCCTCGTCACTGAGAGCGGCTCTGATTCAGAGCCTGGAGCCAGCTGGCCACCTGAAGGATCCCACCTTCCTCAGAAGGCAGGGAGGGCAGCGGGTTCACCTGGATATTGCTCAGCTTTGCGTCTTACTGGGAATAAGCTGACATGTTCATCTCGGAGAGACAAAAAAAGAACTCAGGTGAGGTCAGGACCACTACAGTAAGGCCTCCCGATGTTTCTCAGACTCTAAAATGACCTCTTCTAATGAACACAAATAGATCAAAATACAAATCAAAAAGAATATATCACCTCGAATCCTATCATCCAGAATTAACTGTTGTTAACTCTAGATACCCACCCTTCAGTCACCTCTCTCTACAGAGAAAAAACAGAAATGATTTTATGTAGAGCAGTAAGATCATGTCATACATTCTACTTTTAAATTAATATTATTAGACTTAAATTTAATAGAATAAAGAAAACTGCAGATAGTCAAAGTTATCCCTAGTATTCAGATTTTTTTCACTACATAAGAGATTTCCTGTGGGATCCCTCTAAAATAATGCAAATATGTCATGAAAAGGATTAAGATCTTTTAATTTTTATGTTTTTAAATAACATAGCATTTCTGTTGCACTCAGTGTTGGTTTACTCCATCCATGCCAAGAAAGGGAGTGAATTATGAGAAAATTATCATATTTCCTCCCATATCTACTCCCCACTTTTCATGATATTTAATAGTTATATTATTTTCACACATTTTATAACATTTTATGATGTTTACATTTTGTTCTGTAACCATAATTCCCACAAAGCTCTTTAAACACAAAGATAGGATATTACTGCTGTAAATATTTTCAGCCTTCAGCTTTATTCTTAATGACTTACTGTTCACAATTTCATCTCCTTCCTGCACCTGCAGCAACAGCCTCTCTGTTCTGCATAGATTTCCTATGTCTCATTAGGATTTTCAAGTTTGAGGCTAAATACAAGGATTCCTTTTGCTAAAATCGAGTAAGAAATATGAGTCCAAAGGAAATCTAAAGACTTGGCTAATGGATATAGCAAATAAAAAGATCTTAAGGAAAGAGCATGGCTTTTAAAAACTTCATCTGCTTCCCTCCCTCCTTCTCATCCTTCTGTTTTGACCACAGTTTGACCACAGTTATCACGCTGCTGCTTTTCACGAGCAACTCTGCTCAGAATTTCTATACTCTTTGGCAGAGTATAGATGCTTTCTCTTGACATCTTTCCCTGAGTCCTACTGATCAGCCCTCTGAGATACAGTTTCAGGGCCAGTGTGTTTCCTGTCTCATTTTCTATAGCATAAAACGAAGTGAGGGCCCCTGCGGGAGGAGAGATCATTTGGAACTTGTGTGAAGCCTTCATTGGAGGATGGGACCTCTGCTGCCATGTTGCTGTTCCCTGAGACTTTTGGTGGAAATCTAGTAGGAGGTGTATCCTACTGCCATAGCCACTTTTCCAAATACCACTGGGAAGTGTTTTTCTCCAGCAAAGTTCAGATGATTCAGTGAAGATATAGAGTAGGCAGAAAGTTGGATTCATCTATTTTTAAAAGCTATTAAAATAACTTTTTGTTCTTCTTATGAGTTTCAGAGACATTGACTACCACTTATTCCCAAAGGGAAGATTAATTTTAAAATTCAGCAATACTTAAAGAAGCACATAGGACTGTGTGATTCTACAACTGGGAGGGAAATTATTGATGAAGCACAGGAGAGGGCGCACAATCACACATCCCCATTTATTAAGTCCTTGCTAACTGTACAATATTGGGGGGTATTTAGACTAAGTAGAGGATATGGTCCTGGCCTTGAAGAAGCTTTGACTCCATTGGGAATGCAAGAAATATGATTCATATTATATTCAACTTTAATTCTCTAGCTGTTTCATTCATATTTAAGTGTCAGAATTTAAAAACAGGATAGTTACCTGTGGGATGACTTTTGAGGTAATTAAGGTAAAGAGAGGTGGAATTTATTCTGCAGAAGATCATGTTAATTTCAGGATATAGAGAAAGTATTAAGGGCATATTTGTAATACCTGTAGCTAACAGACCAAGGAAAACAAATGAGTTTTAAAAATGCAATGTGGTAATGATTCCGTATAGGATGTTAGACACTGTAGTCAAAGCCTTATAATGCTCAGGTTCAAATACTGAGTTTTGCTATGACAGTTCAGATTCACTCCTAGAAGTGATTGTTTTATGAAGCCTTGTGAGCTATTCTATCCAAGCCTTCATTCATTCATTCTTCAAACAACTATTTTCAGGTGAAACCTGCTGTGCAAGTACTGTCCATGGTGCTGGGGATCCAACAGTGAACAAAATATGCAAAGTCCTTGCTCATGTGAAGCTTACCTTCTAGTAGGGAGAACAAAGGATATTGTGTGTAAGCATCACATGGGCAGGGATTTTGCTTGTTTTGTTCACTGTTGGATCCCCCGCACCATGGACAGTACTTAATACAGAGCAGGTGCTGGGAAATAGTTGTTAGATGGATGAATGAATGAATGAAGGCTTGGGTAGAACAGGGGTTCTAAGAACAACACACTGGGCATCCTGTAGTTTGAAAGTGTGGCTGACATCCCCGTTGCAGTAAGTCAACGGTTAATTAGGCTAACTACTTGTTCTTTTAAAATCGGAGACCTCAGAAACATATGATATTGTAGTTTAGCATTATTTATGCAAATCAGGTCAATATTCTGTTGTCAGTATGCAGGAATGGGTCACTTGGTGACAAAGTACAGCTAGAAGAACAAAGTAGGGAGACCCCCAAGGCACACCTCTTGATTTTGCCTTCTAGTTGCAGGCAGGAGATCACTGCTATCCTTGATGGTGCCTGACTTAGAATATCTATCACATATTGAGTCCCTGCCTTCATAACCACTGTGCTCTAGCAAGAAAGACTGTAACTCTTAAACAAGCACATGTGCTATTTTGTATGTAACTTCATTTTCTGCAAATGCTGGCATTTTCCTCCTGAGCCTTAAGTCTCGCTCACATTAGGGAACATGTGATCTTGCCAAATTAAGGTCCGGCAATCTCTTCTGACCTTAAATGCTCTCTCGGAGTTGTGGAGCTGTCTCAGTGTCTGAACTGTGAGGCCTTTCTCGCCCGCTCAGGGCTTCCTGTTGCCCTAAATACCACACAATATTGTACGTTTATCAAGGACTTAATGTAGGCGGGGCGCCAAGAGGGGGCAGGTCAGCACACTGTCCCACTGGCCTCCACTGAGGTGTGGCCCACCCTGGCGGTCCCTGGGCATCCATTGGTCTTTGTCTACGGAGATGTGGCTGCTCTGGCCCTTCTTTCAGGCCTTGACACGGCATTTGTGAAGGTCCTGGGTTTATGAAGGCGGACAAATCCTGTCCTGACCTTGGGTCTCCAGCTCGCCACTTCTCCCAGCACCTCTGCCTGGATTACTCATGTGCCACGTGTGGGTTAGGGGCCACTGTAGGACCCTAACGCGGCGGGTAAGTTTAGATACCGCCTTCCGGCCACAGTGCTCTGCTCCTTCCATGTCCCTCCGAGAAGTAAGCAGCCTCCGTGGCCTCCTCTCCAGGAAGTGAGACTCCAACTTAAGTGTTGTCAGATCCCCCCAGCCGGGTGTTTACACACATGGTTCTTCTTCATGGTTTATATAGAGCTTGAAAACTAGCTCGTTAGTGATTTCAAACAGCCTCCTATATAAGATCCTGTAGTCCACAAGTATTTGCTATAAAAAGTATTACTTTTGGAAAGTATCTTTTTAGTCCAAAAAATCAGCAATTCTTATTTGGTATTCAAGAAGCAGTGTAGCATAACATGGAGGTGAAGGCCTGGACGCTGGTGCTACTCTGCTGAATACTGGCTCTATCACTTGATGCCTGTGTGACCTTAGGGAGTTAGTTAACCTCTCTGTGCCTGTTTCCTCACTTGTAATGTGAGGAGAATGGGAGTACCTACTTCATAGGGTTGTTGTAAGGATTAAATGTGTTGATACATTGAAGTGCTTAGAACATTCGCACAAAGTAAATGTGCCGTGTTAGTTGTTATTAGTAACAAACAGTTACGGGAGTTACCCCAGTTGGGCCAGTGGATTTAGGCAACTGTAGCAAAAGGCAGAAACGTCACTGCCATCGGAGCCTTGGCGTGGGAGACTTTACCTGTTTCACTGCCACCACTTTCCTTTACGCCCTCAGAGGAATTTAGGATCTTGGATGCTGAAAGGAGAACGCAGTCAACCTCATCCTCTTCCTCAGGATGCTTTTCTGTAACAGAACAGGAAGGGGCTTTTGGCTTTGCTGGGAGAAGGGCGGCGAGGCGTGGGCACTCGGGACGCGGGCGCCCTGAGCAGCCACGGGAGGGCGCGCTGGGGCCGCGCCGCGGGGGCCGCAGCGATAGCGGGGCTTGGGGCTGGAGGCAGTGCTCCTCTCCGGGGTGAGCGGAGGTGTGTGGCTAGTTCATAAGACCTGTACTTCGGCAGGACCCGTCTTGGGGGTGAAGGGCCCGGGGCGGGGGTTGCGGCGCTCTCCATTACCGGTCCGCTTCCCAGGGCCCACCCCGCAAGGGACAGCCCAAGCCCGGATCTTACCTGGGCTCATTTCTGCTCCTCAAACTCTCTTTCCAACTGCCTTCTCTTCCGCCCGGCATTCTGCTCGGTCGCATTCCGCCGGGGCAGCCGGTTGCCTGGTAACGGAGTGGCCGGGACACCGGGAGCGGCCGTGGAGCGCACGCGTGGGCGGGGGGGGGAACGAGGAAGGTGCGCGCTGAGGTCTGGGTCTCGGGTCCTGGACGCTCGCCGTGTCAGAGCAGCGCCTGCGACCCAAACCCAGGGACAATCTTCCTAGGACATCCCCATCCCCCCCCATCTCTCCTGCTGACCCAAAACTTGATCTAGATCAAACTCTGATTTAGCAAAGCACCAAGGCTGGACCAAAGCTGAGTGGAGAAAGGGGAATGTTTAGAGACAGGCGAACACCTAGAAATGTGTCTTTTCTGATCGTCATTTCATTGTTTTATTTTCTTCTGTTCCTTTTATTTCAACCCATCTGTCAGATTAGTTTCAGTGTTTGTGGATTTGATGGGTCCTAAACCAATATTGTGAAAGGACTTCTGTTCGCTACAATTAAGAGAAGATCCCTATTTCCAGTAATGAACTTAAAATAACAATGTATTGAAATGTACACTTTAGAGCTGTGGCAGAGGCAGGGGACTTCATTTGTCAGAGCATGCTCATTTTCTGTGCACCTAGTAAACAACTTGCAAAAGATAGATTTAAAAGCTTTAGATAAAATTCAACATCCATTTATGATAAAACCTCTCCAGAAAGTGGACATGGAGGAAACATATCTCAATGTATAAAGGCCATATGTGACAAACCCACAGCTAACATAATACTCGATGGTGAAAAGCTGAAAGCATTTCCTCTAAGATCAGGAACGAGACAAGGATGCTCATCCTCGCTGCTTTTATTTAACATAGTTTTGGGAGTCCTAGCCATAGCAATTAGAGAAGAAAAATAAATAAAATGAATCCAAATTGGAAAAGAAGAAGTAAAACTGTCACTGTCTGCAGATGACATAATACTATACATAGAAAACCCTAAAGATGCTAACAGAAAACTTCTAGAGCTTATCAATGACTTTGGTAAAGTTGCAGGATACAAAATTAATATACAGAAATCAGTTGCATTTCTATACACTAACAATGAAATATCAGAAAAAGAGATTAAGGAAACATTCACATTTATCATCACATCAAAAAGAATAAAATAACTAGGAATAAACCTACCTAAGGAGGCAAGGGACCTGTACTCAGAAAACTATAAGACTCTGATAAAAAGAAATTGAAGACGACACAAACAGATGGAAAGATACACTGCGTTCATGGATTGGAAGGATCAATATTATTAAAATGTCCATACTACCCAAGGCAATATATAGATTCAACGCAATTCCTATCAAACTACCAATGGCATTTTTTCACAGAACTGGAACAAAAATATTAAAATTTGTATGGAAACACTCCATATAGTCAAAACAATCTTGAGAAAGAAGAATGGAGCTGTCTTTTCATTTTGTTTATGGTTTCCTTTGCTGTGCAAAAGCTTCCAAGTTTAATTATGTCCCATTTGTTTATCTTTGCTTTTATTTCCATTACCCTAGGAGCTGGGTCAAAAAAATATTGCTGCAGCTTATGTCAAAGAGTGTTCTGCCTATGTTTTCCTCTAAGAGTTTTATAGTATCCAGTCTTATATTTTAGGTCCTTAATTTTTCATATGGCTATTCAATTGACCTGTCATTTATTATAAAGAATATAATTTCCTATACCAGCTATGTATGCACTTTAATAAATTTTAAAATGTGTTTTTCTTATCTGTGCTTTCATTTTACCAGTCTTGACCCTAAAATTCCTTATTGCCAAGTTGCTGAAGTCAAGTAAAGTGATTATTTACTTACCCAGAACATAGTTTAGAATTAGATAAAAAAGCTAGTATAATGAAATTTCCTTTAGACTGCAGAAATGGGGAAAAACCATCTCCTAGATGGGGGAAAACTGAAACGTGGGAAAGTTTAGAAACTTTCCAAAAACTTTCCTAACTGGTCTGTGCTAGACTCTCTGATTCTGAAACCCTGGTTTTGCCCGAATAAGTTTATTTTGATATTTTTTTCCCTCTCCATAACAGGTTACAGTTTTATGAGATAGGACAATATTTCACCTAAATTTTCCAAAAGGATAGAGGAGGTATAAATTTATAAATAAAAATAGAGAAAATCCTTTTGGAAAATTTAAGTGAAATATTGTCCTATCTCATAAAACTAGAACTAAAAGTTCCTGTTTCCTGATACGGTATTACACGCCACCTGTGCTCCTTTCTCAGTGTGGTGAGACTGTTTCTGTTTCATTTGGCCTTAGATGGTGGAGCATGTTCTGTCAGAGAATTTGCTTTTTCCAGTCACATATCAGTCCAACAACTGCCCTGAAAATGTCTGAGTTATTTTTTATTGGGAAGTTCATTGCTAAAGGATAGAATTAAAATCTCTACTGCCAATTAAAAAAAAATCCGTGAGTCACAATATTTCAAAATCTTCAAATAGTAGCTCTTCTTAGAGAATCCATTTTCACCTGTTGACTAACAGCTGCAGATTCAAGAATCTGGAACAAATTCAAGAGCTTGCACAAAAACAAGCTAGTCACATCTATTCTTAGCAGTTTATTACCAGACTAAAATACTTCTGGGTTTTTCAGCTTCAGATGATCTTTTTTAAAACCTGAGATCACAAGCCTCTCATTTATCATAGCTGAGGTCTATAGCAGTAGGAAAAAGTGACCAAAGCACTCCTAAAATATAACATAAATATACATTAATGTACAATATAATGTCTAATGTACACTTTTCTTATAAGTCTTTCATTCTTATTTATTAACTTCTTCTTGGTACGGTGCATGTACCCTCAACCATGTTTCCTGACTCCAGAGATACTGTTTTATCTTCTCCAGATCATTCCTAGCAGACTTCCGCTGTGCAATGCCATGGGATGTGGGGGTGGAGGGGGTGGAGAGGGGACACTTCCGAGCATTAAGTGCTGCCCACACACCTGTACCTCATCTTCCTTATCATAGCTCCACCTTTATCCACTAGTCCAGAAATGCCTGGTGCTATGAATTCCCACGCCTTTTCAAGATGCCATAGAGTAAACTGGGTTAGTTTTCAGTTTTTTCCATTGCTGCTTTGGATTTTTAATGTTCTCAGGTTTCTGAAGTCAGTTACCATTCATTTGCTCTCTAGCTTCCAAACTTTTAAGGTTATGTCCTTCCCAGAAGAAAAAGTATTTTAAAATAACATCCAAACAAAAAAAGGTAATGTATTTGGATACATTCATTTCTTTGATCTCTGAGTTTCCTATTTTGTTTGAATAGCTCTGTGAATGGATCAGTGCTTTGGTGCGGGATTCCACTGTCAATCTCCAGTGCCCACAGAGACCGGCAGGTGGTCTGACTCTTCTCACTGGTTCAAAACCCCAGACAGATCAGGGTCAGAGATAGTTAAGTTTGGGAGAATCTCAGAGAAATACAACTTGGGCCCTATTTTCCATTTGGGACATTAGTAGAATCCTTTGCTCCAGACCCAAAGGCAACCACTGCAGTAGGGTAGAGATGACTTTGTGACAAGATGGTGAGACCAGGGGCCTAAGACATTCCCTACCTCCCAAGCCAGCTGGTTCCCATGGTTTGTACTTGGAGGGGACGGTTTCATACGTTCCCATGTGTCCCCGGTGAGGTAGGTAAGACATGCAGGTCAGGGGCATTGCCATGGGGCCACCATAATGAGAGGCAAGGTGACTAGAGTAGAGCCAAGGGCCAGATGAAGTTCGTGTCTGAGATGCAAAGGGTCCGGGACTCCAGAGAAGGCTGAGCTGAGACTTTTGGAGGTGGTGGTAGAAGTGGGGTTGTTGCTTGGTCCCAACTATGTTGAGAAAACAGACCACAGGTGGAACCATGGATTTCAGCAGTGAATACAAGCAGGACCCTGGGAGACGAGCACCCTCACCTTCCTCAGGGGTTCCCCTAAATGTCCCCTCCTGGAGATGCCACCTTGGAAAGGAGAAAGCAGTGGCGGTGAGCCTTGAGAATAAAGAATAGCCTTAAGGGAGCCTGAGCCTTGACTGAGTATTTATCTGAGAGAGACATTTAAAATGAAGGAGACTATTTCAAAGCAGAAGTGGTTTTAATCTGAAAGAGACTGCATCGCCTTTAACTAGCCAATTTAAAATTTCCCTTATCAGCAGAAACCATGGGCTCATAAGAGAGAGTAAAGGAGTTATAAAAACTAAAGAAGCCACATTTTTCTTAAAATACCTGAGTTGTTAGTGTACACAACATATGACTGGGCCCTCTCGTTGGAATGTTGATTTCATCTGAATTCATTGAGTGCCACTTCATTAGGTATTTAAAAAATATTTTGTGTATTTATTATGTATGTTGCATTCAGTGGTATAATTGAATATGAAACTAGAGAAATCTAGGGAATTTCTCCCTGACATGCACTGAAGTAGTTAAAACAGATAACAGACACCTGCAGGCTGTGTTAGAATACAAGATTGTCATTTGGTATTTACTACAATTGCAAAATCAACTTGTTAAGGAAAGACAATTAGACTCCCCCAAATGTCCTGAAGTTTACATGTTTGATGGTCATAATATAAATGTAAACTGTAGAGTATGGCATAGAAAATGATTGCTTTAAGTATCATTAAGTTATTGCTAGCCTCAAAGAGAGTAAGAGCTGAATGTATGTTTCTGTTACAGCAGGCATCTGCCTCCCATTCCTTCTCCTGAGAATACAGTCAGGTAAATGCCTAAAAGCTCGCTTCTAGGTTTGGAGTCAGCAGTTTGCTCTACGTCTGCCCCAAGCCATTAACGTCTTCCTGCGTGGGTGCGCGTGGGTGCATGCGTGCCGGTTCTGCTGCAGACCTAAGCTTTGGGGTAAAGAGTAACTGTGTCGTAGCCCTCAGGGGGCCTCATGCGGGCTCGGGCGTGGGTTTCGCAGTACAGCTCCCCCTCCACGAAGAAGTAGCCCTTCTGCTTGAGGTTGAGGTTGCAGTCAGCACACACGAAGCACTCGGGATGCCGGTACTTGTCCCGCGCCTTCACAACGGCACCGCTGTTGGGGGAAGAGGAGGGCTCATGAAAACAAAACCAAAACAAAGCCAAAAACATGGTACAAAGGGAGACAGCACTATGGGCGAGGTGGGTGTCATCTGTTTCACATCCAGGAACAGCCTCCGGCTGTGAAACTGGGCACAGCTGTGAAACTGATGTAATTGTCAGGGAGAAGCAAGACAACCATAATAAACCTTCACGTGTTTCTCTCTGATGTTGACGTGTATTTTTAAGATTTTTTCAAACAAGTTTTTTTTTTTAGAAAAATTATAGCATCTTACTTCATGATCCTTCCCCAGTATTTCTTTGAAAGAGGGAGACAGGACACAGATAAGACAGACACCTCTGCAGGGGATTCTGACTTTGACCAAGGTTGTTGTCCATATCACTAAATGTCCCTCTGATTGCTTTCTATCTTGGTGGTCCAGCTTCTATTTATTCTATGGAACATAGAGAGAACAGATCAAAAGGCAGAGATGGAATTTCCATGGGTGGGTGGACTTGCCTCTACTGTCAAAACAATTTACTCCAACATAGCAGCATAACTACTTTGGGTAACGTCACAAACTATTGTATTTAATGAGGTCCTCTCTGCTCCCGAGATCCCTGTCCTGCTTATTTCTGTCTCACAGTCTCCTTTTTGCTCTAACCACGCTTTTCTCCCACTGCCCTCCTGGGATATATTCTGGGTAACTGGACAGATGGTGCCTCAGTGTATGAGCTGATGGTAGAAAAACAGAAAAAAGGGCTGGAAGAAGCAGCCCCTTGGGGCATTAAGTGGACAGATTGAAATGATCTGGTTCACTTGAAGATTTGAACCAGCAGGTGTGGCTATTCACACATAAAGTCCCTTGAAATGGAAGCTAACTGTATTTTGTAAAATCGTATTTCAGTATTTGTGCAACTTAAGAAACTGGGTAAAGATAATGTGTTTTAATTAACAACCAGATGACCTCCATATGTGTTTCCCTGGACTTATACAGAAAAGGAAGTATACAAGCTTTCTGAAGTGAAGTTATGATTCTTGGAATAGATTTTAAAATATACCTCTGGGGCAATTTCTTTTCTGAATATATCTGAATATATATCTGAAATTATAAGTCAAGATTTCTGACTTACATTTTATGCCAACTTAGGGGTACATCTAAGGAATTCCGTTCAAAATGTGCTAAATGTCGTGGACCTTATATTTCAAATCGATGAACAGAAATTTGTTTTTTATAAAAGTTCTATGGAGTCTTCAAATAGAAGAAATAAAGAACTGACACCAAGATTTATGATGCATTTTTGGGTTGCAGATGAAACTTACACAATGCCACTCCCACATTTGTCACAGAGTGGCATCCTCTGTGTGCTGCCGGCACCACCATGGACTTTTGTAACTGGAGCTCTCACACTCCGAGTTCCAGCAGGACGGTCATCTGAAAAACAAAGTGTTGCCATTTATGGCAAGGGAACAGCTGGCTGCAGTTTATACTTTGCTTCTATTTTAAGGTGTGCACTTTAACCTAAGGAATTCTTAGTTGCACCCATACTATCATTTCAAAAAGAGCAGGACTGGTTTAAGCATAACTTGTTCTGAAGCAGGACCTTACAAAATAAAATTAGTTAAAAATTGTTGTTGTAGGGAGCTGAAAGGGGCAGAGGACATTTTGCACTCTTTCTTTTTCTATTGTGGTTCAATATTTTAAAATATTACATAAAATTGACCATCTTAGCCATTTTTAAGTGTGTGATTCAGTAGCTAATGTACATTCACAATGTTGTACAACCATCACAAATACCTATTTCTGGAACTTTTTCATCATCTAAAGCAAACTCTGTACCCAGAGAATATTAACTCCCTCCTTCCAGACCCTGGTAAGCTCTATTCTACTTGCTGTCTCTCTGACTTGCCTATTCTAGGCTCCTCATATAAATGGAGCATATGTTTGTCCTTATGTCTCTGGCTTATTTTACTTAGTAAAATATTTTCAAGGTTCATCCATGTTGTAGCATTCCTTTTTTAAGGCTGAATAATATTCCATCAAATGGATATACCACATTATGTTTACCCATTCATCTATGGGTAGACATTTAGGTTGTTTCCACCTTTTGGCTTCTGTGAATAATGCTGCTATGAACGTTGGTGTACAGTATTGGTTTGGGTCCCTGCTTTCACTTCTCCTGAGTAGACATGTAGGAGTGGGATTGCTGGATCCTACGGCAATTCTATGCTTAACTTTTTGAGGAACGGCCATACTGTTTTTCACAGCAGCTGCACTATTCTACATCCCCCACCAGCAATACATAGCTATTATTTTTTAATTTTTAAAAATTGAACTGTAGTCAGTTTACAATGTTGTGGCAATTTCTGGTGTATGGCATAATGGTTTTTTTTTTGGAGAAAGTGAAAAAACATTAGTAAGAGTATGAACTCTGAAGACAGCAGGAGTGGGCTGAAGACCCAGCTCTGTTTCTCACTTGCTGTGTGACTCTGTACAAATCTGCCCTCTCTATGTCTCAGTTTCTCTTTTGTTGAATAGGGAAAATACTAGCTCTTACCTCACTGAGTTATTATGAGGATTAAATGATCATATATGCAGAGTACTCAGCACAGGATTTGGAACACAGTAAGGGTTCATTCCAGTGTCATTTAAAAATTTTGATGATCACGATACCATGGGACATGGGGGAGGCTGAGAAATTTGGCAATATTGATTTAAAACTGTATTTTATGATCTGTCAGCTGAGCTGGCCCTTGACTACTATGGATGGGATTTATCTTTGGTGCCCTTTTACCATCAGGTTGGGGACTACTTGTCTATGTCCTGGAAGCTCCTTTCCTAAACCAGGCAGCACCCAAACCCTTCTTAGCAAAGATTCATTTGATGCCTGATTCAAATCAGTTTTTAGACTCATCCCCATCATGTCTGTCATCTTCCCCTCCCCTGACCCTTCCAGTAGACTCTGTCTATTATGTTTCAGCCGACGTTCACGGCTGCTCACCGGGGCTGTCGTTAACTAGCTCCTGGAGCACTCTGAAGGAGCCTGACTGGCGAGGCTGAGCGGGTTCATTCCGATTGTCATGCAGCATCCGGTACACATCCGACTCGGGGGGCACGGAGGCCGTGGGTTCACTGAAACACAGCGTGGCAGGCGGAGCAGCGTCAGGGGCGTCATGTACATGCAGCAAGTTACAAGCTATCAGTTAGCAGTGATCACTATATTTACAGCAACTCCTGAGCAGAGACTCAGCATTTTCAAGTTAATCTCTATTACAGGTGAAAATAAAATGTGAATTCACATAGGTGGCCTTAACAATATCATTAATGAACCTGGGGGTCGCATCAGCACTTCTCCACGTGGCAAAATCCTTTGGAGGGCGACAAAAATGTGATCGTTAGGAAATAACTTAAAAAATAGCGCCTGTGTCTGTTGGATATATAATTATAATGTGAACAAAATTTCTCAGGAAAAAAAAGCAACATATACATGGTAGAAAGTGCTCAAGTGAGCCCCGTTTGATTATTCTCATCAAGTTGTCAATAAAATTCAGATTCATTTCTGATATTAAAGCAAAAGTGTATGGTTTAGTTTTGTTTTTAAGGTTAATTTGCTATGTTAACTTTTGGAAACAACCAAGGTGTCCGTTTTGCTTGTAAATTGAAGAAATTCAACTTGTTAGTGTTTGAAAGTGCATAATGTAGCAACTTTCAGATATACATCAGTTGTATTGTCTACACTAATACTTTCTAAATAGCCACATTATAATTCATTTACAAAAATGATAGAAACTTAATTTTAATAAAATTTCTACAGATAAATTCATGATTAACAATAAAAAAATGCCACAGTAAAACTACATGTGAGGCACCAAATGCTTTTTGATTTTATGTCATATAATGACATTGTCTAGCAAAGGTAGTTGCTATTTGCACATATTTTTTATTACCTATATCGTATTTGGAAATAATCATCTTGTATATCTGAAGTCCCTTGCAAAATGGCTTTGAAATACATCACCCTAATATTATCTCATTGTATTCATCCCAAGGGTTATCTTTGGGATATTTTTACATAACACTCATAAGCATCATAATACTTTATAAAAAGTGGTTCTGTAATATTGAAAGTAATAATATTTTATCTTATAATAAATCTTTGTAATTGACAATACTCGATGGCAAAATTACTTTGAACAATTATGCATAACAAAGAAGAAATCAGTCAAAATGGAGACCAGTAGAAACTAAATATCTACATTAATAGTTTGAGATATTCACTTATAAACCCTTATTCATGGCAAACATTTTAAATGGAAAAATAATGAACCTCTCTAAAAGATGCCATTAGAAGAGAGAAGAGGTATCATTTCTTTTGAAACTTCTCTGAACTTCCCATCCCTTTCCCAGTTTTTGACCCCCCAAAGAAGAAACACAGAGTATACTAGATTGTAAATCACTTTTGAGAAGTATTGTACCAGGCATAAAGTTTTTGTACTAAAATTGTAGTTTTTCAAAAGATATATACATTTGGCCCTTCCATGATTTCATTTTCTTGCAATCTGTCACATAAAACTCTACTTGGTTAATTTTTCAAATCACCTTTATCATTAAGCCTGGATATTTGCGATAGATCCTTAGTATTTTTTTCTTGAAAGTTTTTCACATAGCTTTCTTTCAATTAAGACAGCATTTCAAGACACCAGTAAAGTTGACATTGCCCATGTGTTTAGTTAATATGCCCATGGTTCAGAAAGACTCATATTACCTCATTGAGGGTGTTTCCCCTAGAGCTGTTGAAACCTGACCCTGAAGTGTTTCCATAATATTGTCATCTGAGTACAACTGCATAGGTGTATTAAACTGAGCATGTACAATCTTCACACCCGGAAGTTCCATTTCCAAAGGAATGTTAGGGGCCATCTTAGCAGCAACTTTCAAGTCACCTGGGCAAATAGTACTAAGAGTACTGACAGAAGAAGGGGTGCTACGTCCACTGCCACCGTCAATACCGGACGGAGTACTGCATCCACTGTGTTAATGAACACGTTACACAGACGTGACACAGAAACCAGAAAGTCCAGACAGAACACAGAGAACAAGTACAGAGAGGTTAAAAGGAATTGAAGGCAAAAAGTAAGAGGTGAAGCAAATCAAATTAAAAAGAAATGTTTCTTTCTGGCTAGACTTTACTTTAAAAGGGAAGACGTTTAAAAATTCATGATTGAGAAAAGTTTAACGAAATTAGAAGTTACAGGTGATGTTGCATTTTTTGGCTCTGTTCTTTTAGACAGTATGTTCTATTAGGCGAGAGTTACACATATAAAGAGTTGTGCATGAAGTAAGCGGTTCAGAAAAGTTACCTTGGCTGGACACCCTTTTACATTTCTGAGCTGCAGTATTTAAAACTGAAATTTTAATGAATGATCCTTCACAAAGAGTAACTGAATATGCAACATGAAGATCCAATCAAATATTTAGGCTACACATGTCACAATAAGTATTTTCAGAAATGCAATTGGGCTTTAATTGAATGGCAATAGGCAACTTGTAGGTTGTGTAATAAAGATAATGTTTCAAGACTATTTTGGAAATGTTTTATTGTTACCATTTTATCTTTTTCTATTTTCATTCTTTTTGTGAATACTACACTTTAAAAATTGTTCAATGATTTAATGTAGGCTCTACAAGCAGCCAATAAATGCTTGTCACCTTGAAATTAATGATTAGAGGGCAAATAAGGTGATCTCAGTCTCTTTGGATGGTACATAGGGCTAAGATATATTTCTTTTATACATAGCTATATGTAAAATTTTGTAAAGCACACATATATTTCCATGCATATTTCTCATTTCCTTTTAATACCCCTTAAGGGAACTTATTAAACCATCAGAAAAGCCAGTCATGCAACTTTAAGAACAACTACAGAAATTTCATAGTCTCTATAAACAGAATTCTCTATAGATAGGAGGTTAGTCACAGCTGACATGCTGATGACTAAAATGTCCTTTTTCTACATGCAGTTTAAGGTCAGCATGAGAAATTCATTTTTTGAGAAAATGGAATATATTATATATATATTTTAAAGCACAGTCATTTAAGACAAAGCCAAAAGAACTATTAATGTAAACTTCTATCATGCCTGCAGGTTAGTGTTGCTGTAAACTCAGGCCAGAGAACAATTTATATGGTGCGTTTATCTCGAGGTCATTGTTCTCTTAGGGCTCAGGTATAGCCTCGTATCTGCATTTGATTTCTAGGACTGCTAATGCCAACCTCAGCCTCATACAGAGAGCAAAAACCAGAAGGACGTACTGAAAACTGATTTTGTTGGCTTCATCAGTGTTGCAGCCTGATTAGTCTGGGCAACCCATGTCACTAAATGAATTAAACAAATTTTTTGGTATTGTGCTATTCAATTCAACCATCTACACAGACTAAACAAGGCAGGTAAATATGAACTTGCTCTTTTACTTCCTGACTGTTGAGAACCTGTTTGAAACTCAATCTGTCAACTGATCCCATACAAAAATGTCAAGTGGTTTCATAGACTCCACGCTATCCTGGCTGCTGAAATCGACTTCATTTGGTAAAAGAACAGAAATAAAATTTCAGTTATCTGCAGTTTAGTCAGGATTATATTGATGGACCTCAGTATGGTGAAGTTTATTAAATTGTAATTTAGGGATTTGAGACACTGAGTTAAATATTGGGAGACTTGGGCTCCAAACAGTGAACTTTTTGACAAGCATTTATAACTGCTCTGACCTTCCTGTGAGCCAGGCGTAGTGCTAGACGGAGCAGAGGCAAACTATGACCAACTCAGAACCTACAGATACCAGACATACCTTATTTTACAGTTGTGGTTAGTGTTGTCTTTTTCTGTTTTTCGTGTTCTTGCATCCATGCATGCTTACGTGTATAACTTTATTTAAGCAGAGATTGTGTCTTCTGTTTCCTAGTTTCTTTCTCATTCTATTTAGGGCCCATGTCTAATTGAATAGATAGGAAACAAACCCTAAGCAAACAAGAATTCTCTTTTTATAAATTTCTGGGACAATTTTAAAAGATCTTGTGAACTGATGCTCTAAACAGAATAGTTTTCATTGACTCCAGTCACTGTGGAGATCATCATGGGTCACCATGACCTGTTCCTGTGACCTGGATTATTATCAAGATTTCTTGACGTTGACTTACTGACCTGGCAACCCCTAAGGCTGATGATACCCCCCATTACTGCTGTGCACCTGAATGGATCATTTGACAGAGAACGAATTTACCTGGTGTGTATACAGACTTTTGGGGACATACAGGGACTTGTCCAAAAACCACTCACCAGATTGTATTTTTATCATTCAGATCTATAAAATGCCTTGTATTTATTTCTATTGATAGCTTTGACTTTAAAGATATACATATTTTCATAGGAAAATACTGGTCTTTTAAAATGCTTCAATTTATGGTGAAAACCATTAAAAGAACCCTAACTAGTAGTAAGACCCCACAGAGATGGACATATTAGCATCTCCAACTTACTTCAGATTCAAAAATTGTGCATTAATGGTGTAATTATTGCTTGGTAAGTAGCCACTCAAAATTCTGCCTTGATGAGGAATCATTTGGTAAGAACAAGAAATTCAGAAACTTGAGCAAATAGTGAGGGGGCACAGGAAGAAAGGAAGGATAGCAGAATCATTTTTACAATTTTTTAAGGTTTATGAACTGGTACCTGTTTTTTAAGCAGATCCCCTCATCCCTGTTTTTCCTCTCCCCTCTCCCAAATTCAGCTATACTGAAAGGCACTTCACAGTGACAGAATTGACTGGCTTGTCATCATCACCATGTTTGAATTGAAATGAAAATATAAAAGAAAGGCATTACATAACTGAATCTCCCTGACTTTTCCTGAATTTTTATTAATGTTGTTGGTCTTTAGCAAAAGCAAGACCTGTATTAACTATAATGTATTATTTTCTTTAAGCCTCCTAAAGTCCTAACGCTCAAGTTAGTGAACTTCCACTTATGCTAACCTCAAAAGAATGCAAGTATATCAGTTTCACTATGTTTCTTAAGGAAGATGTATGTGTGTGTATATATATATATATATTCAACAGTAAAAGAGCATTTTAGCTTTTATGTTTTTTTATGTTATTGAGAGTGGAGTTAGGAAGCTGTTGATTGTGGAGAAATGGAGAAAAGATGCAGAGAAAAATGGTATCGGAACAACTGAAAATGGAATAGGGAAAAACTAAGAGAAGTAAAAAAGGATTGTGTAGAACAAGTCTGAGAGAGGAATGACAGCTCCTGACTCTTCTTGCTACTCAGGAAGCACGATTAGGCACTCTTGGGATTTTGTTCCTAATGAACACCTGTGGAGCATTTACTCTGTCCGAGCCTCATTTTTAGGTACTGGGGATATGATGTTTACATTCTAGTCGGGGGAGATGTACTTGGTGGTCATTGCCTTTTTTAAGCATCTTTCTCCTGCTCTTCTACTCCATTGCTTCTTTCTGAATCTGGTATCACAAAATTGTCTGGCTTATTTTGAAGTAATCCTCTGGCCCTGACTCTAGCTTATGGAAAGGTCAGCACATGGAAATCATGTATCAAGTGATGACTGACTGTCTACAGCAGGCATCATAAACTAAGATGTCTGCAGGGCCCAGGAGGGTCACACGTATATGACAATGGACCAGGTGTCATAGCTTAGGAGTGCTGGGCATTCTGACAAGATGGAGAGTGGGTGTTCCATCTTAAAGCACTTAACTCAATTTAATATTTTTAAACAACAGGAGGGTTAAATAAAACACTGCGAATTGACTACCTGCAGGCCACTAATTTGAGACACCTGATGTAGATCATTATTCAGTGATTCTAACTTGTTAGGATCAATCTAGCCTAACCACCAACTTCCTTCCTCTGGGCTGACTGATGTAGCTGAAGTTAGAGGAATGGGTTTGAGGTTTCTTGAAGAAACTGTTTCGTGATGTGGCAATACAGGGCATTAATTTCTTCCCTCGTAAGTTGGAATTTAATTTCTGGAGAAGATCTGAACAGGATCATTGATGATCTGTTTTTCTGACTGACAGTTACCCCTGAGGATAACCGAATAAATCTCCCTCCCTCCTAACTCTTTCTTTCTTTATACTTATTTCCCCTCAAGTGGAATAGTTCCTTTTCAGGTGGCCTCTCTTCCTGTGCAAGCACCCATAAGAATGCAGATGTATTTTTACGTAGAATGAGTGGGGTTACCTGGTGGGCTCTGAGGGCACAGTGAGAAGCAGGTGCTGAGATGAAATAATCAGCCTCTCAAGCACACAAAGCTCCACCAGCCTTCCCAGCTTTGTCTCCTGCTTCCTCACTCCTGACTGGGGGCTGGTTTTCATTTTTGTCCCCTCTGACTGGGCCTTCCTGCCCTGGGGTAGAGTATGTCTGCCTGCCTCAAAGGTCACCGTGTTCTGGATGGGATCCTGTGAACAGCAGGGGCATTAGTTATAAATACACACGGGGATTGCATAATATTTCACAGCACTGTAATCTTGTCAGTATTTGCTCTCGGAAATGGAGGTTAGTTGGCTACGATTCTTTGCTAAGTGCGTTTGTTTCTTTTGCTTTTGAAATAAGCTTCAAAATGAGAAAAGTCACTCCAAACACCTAAGAGTTACATTGCATGGTGCTTAGCAGGATTTGTTAAAGAAGCATGCACTCCAAACTTCACAATCTTAAAGCTTATGACCTGCTTCGGCCTGGGATTATGAAAGGTTTGGGCCGAACATTGTGCTTGTGTTCAAAGTAGTTCACATCCTGTAAAGACAAAGGGTTAAAAAAGTCCCTCAGTGAAAGATTAATGCATATACTTATATTTTAGATTAAATTAAACAGTAACTGTACAGAAAGGATTATTTACCACCAAATATTGACATGGCTAAGAAGGGTGATGATGGAACCAGAGCGATTTCTTCCTTTCAACCATCTATTCACTAAATGTTCGGAAACTGGCGGACTGGACTCCAGAACATTAGAACCATGTTCTAGATGCTTGTCTTTAAAATAAAAACCTGATGGTGCCTTCAGGAAAGTAAAAATAAAACAGCAAGAGCTGGACTTTTGAAAGGAAAAGAAGCCGCACTATCACCGTTAAAACATGGTGGCCAGAAACCAAGTCGAATACTTACTTTTGAGGTGAACTAGGAATGAGACCCCGCAGCTGTCCGTGAAGCGCATCTTGTATATTGCTAGTTGAATAGAGCCCAATGGGTGAGTTATAGGAAGCGCTCACTACCTGTCTTTTGTCATCAATGTTTGCTGCTGCAACAAAAGGCTGGGCCCTTCTGTTGTGCGCGGCACCAATGGGTCTGAACTCCTGTACAATGGCAGACAAAATACACAGAGCCACAGAATGCATGACAAAGCCATTAATGCAGACTGACAGCATCGCTCTTGTTAATCAAGGCTTCTTTACCCACTATGAGATTAATGGCCGGGTAAAAGGAGGAACACGTTCTCCGTGGACTGTACACATGCTGTATTCATCCAACAAATGTTAAGGTGCAAAGGGATTGACCTTACTTAAAATATAAAATAATTTGTATATTATACCTTTTGGGAGGCGAGAATTCTACCACTGAACCACCAATGCCTTTTGTCTGCTCCCTAATGACTTCTTTTGACTTTTAAGACATTCTCACAGAACTCATTTGAATACAGAAATTTTGTGTCAGAAATGAGATTTCTGGCTTAGAAAAATGATTCTACTTGACATTTTCTCAAGTAGGAATTACATATGCTTTCTCCTCTATTAACGTTTCCCCCATTGTAGGAAATGGGAGAATAAAACCATCAGAAAGGGAATGAACATTTATGAGTAACTGGACTGAATCATTTTAAATAATCCACATTTTTCTGATTTTTGTCTTAATACCTATGACAAAAAACAAAACTCTTAATTTGCATTAAGATATAATCTTAAATTTAGAAAAAATAATGAAGAGTTAAACGACTTTTCCTTTTTGAAAGCAGAATAACATACATAAAAATGCCTCCTTTTTTATTGTGATGATTTCTTGTTGTGTGTTTATGTTTACTCTAGTCCCAAAAAGACTTAAGCAATTCCCAGCAATTCAGAGATAGCGAATGTATGATTCACAAAAGAATTTTCGCTTTATGGGGAAAAGGCCCAAACTTCAGTCCTAAACTCTGAGTTTGAAACATACCTGAATGATCTGAAACTCTATATTATTATCTTTTAATGTAGTGATCAAGTTTTCCAATTTTTATGTAGATTTATAATTTTGTAAAGTCACTAATTTTTTTTTCCTCCAAGCAACGGAAGAAAACCAGGAGGGAATGCTAAAACACACATGAGTTGATTCTCTTTCCAAATCTTTTCATTTGGCAGAACTGGTAAGATAAATCTTTACGGTAGTTTTTCAATCACACATTCACATCAACTTCCTTTACTTTAGTGACTCTGCCACCAGTGTTTCAAACAGATCTCAAATAGTACACACATTTATGATGATTTGAAATGTTAATGGAGACTGTTTTTTTAAAAAATAAAAAGATCTTAGACTAGTCTTGTTCGTATCATTTTTTCTCTTCCTGTCATTTTAGATGAGTGAGTTGTGGGATGGTGCTTTTTAGAAAAGAGATTATATCCATTTCTTAGGGGTGGAACCAGAGTTTTGTGTAGCGACTCTTGTACAGGAGAACACCAGCAGCTTCCTCGGGGACTCAAGCAGCGAGGTGCTTCCTTTCGGTTCTCCTGGGCAGGCAGTCATCACACATGCTCCCTGCTCCCCCACCTAGGTCTCCTGGCAAAGCCCTCTAATAGTTACAATGAGGCAAATGGGGTGCAGCTTCAAACACTAGTCCTGCTGATTCTTGGACTCCAGCTGCCCC